TTCTCTTATAGTTATAATCTTCTCTACTCTCTATCTACTAGTTATTCTANCTCTATATATACTAGCTNNTCTANATTCTAGAAGAATCTATCTTAGTAATAGATTGCGTAATAGATAGATAGATTAGATTAGGGATTAATAGATTATTTATATCGTTAAGATTAGGGTGTAATGTTGACTTGGGTTAGGGATCAGTATTGTCCTAACATAGATTAGAGATTAATAGATTAATTCTCTTAGAGGTTAGCTAAATAGCTTAGATCTTAACTACTTTCTAATAATTTATAAATCTCTTAATAGACATAACTATAACTATAAAGTATAGTTAACTTTATTAATTATAATAACTATAAACTATTTATAATAAACATAGTAGAGTAGTAAACTATAGTTATAAGAATATAAAAGAATAAACTAGAGTAATAATAAGAATATATAGTATAGTAAAGATCTCTTATAGTTATCTATAAGTTTACTATATCTTTTTCTATCTCTCTCTTATCTTATTTCTACTATATATCTATTTAAAATTATTCTTCCATTAAAATAATATCAATCTTCTATTTATAGTACTTATCTCTATCTCTATTCTATCTTATATCTATTAAGAATACTACTTTCTCTAATACTATAATCACTTTCTTTAATTATCTACTTGGAATAATCTATAAAAATATATAGAGATAGATAATAGATAAGTTTAATAGATTAGAAGCTAGCTTAGATAGTATAGGCCTAATTAATATAAGTACTATTTTTTAGATAGATAAGTGCTCTCTTATAAGTATTATAGATATCTTAATAGTTAACTTACTGAATTTAAGACTTAAATTAGATACTATTCTATAGCTTTAAGAAGATATAGTCTATATTAAGAAGGCCTTAAACGCTAAGTATCTAACTAATTAGTAGAAAGAGTTTATAGTAAGAGTTTAGTTAAAAGAGAGTAAAGAGTAGAGAGGTATAGTACTTTAGTTTTATAGTAAAGTACTAGGTATTTAATAGAATAAAGATAAGACTTTCTAGTATTATAGACGTATTGCTTATATCAATGCTACTAGTACGTAGCGGTGTTGATTAGTAGAGCGGAGGATAGGTAGTTACGCGTAGTTACTGCTTACTAGTTGTAATTAATCTCAGATTTCTTTTCTCTCAGAAACTTCAATTAGAAAGGCCGGAGCCAAACAAAGCTTATAAACCTCTCTACCTTACTTCCTATATAGAGCTTATAGTAGAAGAAGTACTAGGAGAGGACATTCTTTCCGCTATTACTTGTAATGATAAGCTATTCTAGATAGAGTAGATTTTATATTAGTAGTTCCTGCTAAGTTTAACAGAGCTTGTTTCGGATGCTGTTCGGATATTAGTCTAATTAGCGCCTTAGCCGTTACATTTAAGCTACTTTAATACCTTCTTGTTAAGATGTTTATGCTCATATCCATTGCGTTAACGTAGGCAAACAATGTTTATCATTATGGCTACCCTAGCAGAGTGGTTTCTAATACGCTTACACATATTACTTGAGGTTAGCTCGGTACATTGAACAGTTAGGCTCCCCCCCTCCAAAATTGATATTACAGTTAATAACACTCCTCCTCGCCAAAGCACAGTGTATAACCCTGGTTCTTACACTGTGCTACGAAGCCTGCGCCAAATTCCTCCTGGCATGTTGCGTCGGTGAACACATCTGCCAATCTGTTCGCCCTTGGGGCCGACTTGAGGGATATTTTCTGGCACTACATGGTCATGTTAGCATAGACTATAAAGACTGATCGAAGAATTACAGCTTACCCAAACTAATCTGCCTAAGAACGGATCCGGCTTGGCTGGAGGATAGATGGTCGTGTCGGTGCCTCCAAACTTGTTGCAGATAGGTTGAACAAGAGGAAGGTCCTTCTCCGCACTGTGGCAGCGGCAACCCCAAACGTCAGGGAACCAGGCTTCTGGACTGTATATGATAAGCCAACACTTCACTGGAATGGTGTTGCACCAGCGTACTTACTTTGTCTGCTGGGGAACTGGGAGTGGCGCGGGCGCAGGTACTGGTGCTGGAATAGCCCTTTACACAACCATTAGCTTGAAAACGGATTCAAGTGCAAGGACTTAGTACTTACATAGCTGCCACAATGTGAGCAAGAAGAGTAAGGAGAACGACCATTTTGATTGTGTGCGAGGCTGAGGCGGAATAGTTAATTGAAGTTCTTCAGTGGTAAAGGATGGTGGAGGAGGACGGATCTCAAGGACTTATATGTATTCTCTTTATCCTTGGATGAGCGAATTCATTGGCTATTTTCTCGTTGTCAAGCCTCTAGAGCAGGTGCAGCAGCTTGGGTCTTGGGTCGGTGATCCAACTGAAGCCGGATTATCCTCATTCTTCCACCTTAGATTAACATGCAGCAAGCAAGAAGAGTAGAAGACTTCCTGGCTGTTCACGGCCGTTTTGCCTGTTTAGGTCGCTTAGACAATGTTCATGGTTCTGCCCCATGTCGTTGGCCTGCTGTTTATCCAGATGGGGGTGATGCCGGGTGTGGGGCGCTGGTATTGGGACAACCTTTAAACATCAGCAGCTGCCGAAGCTCAGACACCTCTAGGGTTAGGCGACGGAGACGTCTCCCATGGGAAATACCTCAGCACGAATGATCAACCCGTTGTCCTCTCGATTCCTTGCCTTGCCATGATCTCCACCGGAGGAAGTACTTCGCAAGGAGCACTTGCCGGGAAATATTGGGGGTGTTTAATATCGGCAAAGGCATGGTTTCCGAACTGGGTAGAGGAATCTCAAATCATTTCATGCATCACCTGCGAGGAGGAACTTGGACCTGGAGACAATAGAACCATCTGATAACACACAAGAGGCTCCTTTTCAGTTACTAGACCCGGACATTGATCTGACTGCGAAGGAAAATACCCCTGCTTCTATAGTCAGGCGGACGCTTACCACCTGCGAAAATGTAGTCTAGCTTTCGGACGCCCCTCCCAAACGGATTTAGCGGCCCTTGGCTAACGCCACGCACGTGATGGCACCAAATCTCGATGTGGCAAATGACCGCCACACCACCACTTAGCGTAATAATTCCCCAACTGCTACTGTATTAAACATGCTACCACAGGTGTGACTTTACACTAGAAAACGACCAAAATGCCACTAAATCTAATTAGAATATCATTTTCTGACTAGCGATAGTTCTAGCTCACAGACCACTATATTAAAAGAATATATACAATACTATCAACTACATAGAGCTTAGATATATACTTATGTTACTAGGTTCGCACTTAGACTATTAAGCTCTACGTCAGTATTCTATAACGTTTATCTAGTAATATAGAAGAATAGCGCACTTATTAAACAGATAAAGATAAGTTTAATAATTCTTAATCTATATTAGATAGACTGATAAGTATTAATCGTATTAAGTTAAGTAACTAGTTGGTAAAAAAGTATAAATTAAGTTAACTAGTTATAATAAGAGTAAATAATAAAATTAATCTATTATTATATCTTTATTACTTCTAGTTGTACTATTCTATGTATTCTAACTTCTTACTATTATCTTACAGTTAGTAAGATAGTTAGTCTTAGTAGAATAGTATATTACGTAACTCTAAGCTCTATAATAATTATTACCTTCTAATTTAGACGTCTATAGACGTTTAGCTATCTCGTTACTTATTAAGAAGAGAATTCTTCTTATTATCTATGATAAATACCTAAAATGCGCTTAAGCGCATTATGTCACTAGCTAGTCATGCATAAAATTATAAGTACTAAGATGATGCAGTCGCAGCCTGTGTGGTTGGACGCCACAGTTTTCCGACACGTTGGATCAATTCCTTCTTTATGTCATATCCGGAAAGAAGATGTTTGGACATTGTGGGCATAGCATCTTCTGCGAAAGTCTTTCCTATAAAATGTTTGGAAGGTATAGGAGCTGTATGCACACTGGCCGAGTTTTTCAGTATGCAATATGCCCCGAATGAGACTGCCAAAGTGCATAATAATTCCTGGGGGACCCCAGTAAAAAAAGAACTTTTCCCTCAGGGAAGAGAATCCTTGATAATCGAGGGATACACCCCAAATTTAGCGGGGTAAATCGATCACGCCATGGTCACAGACCCAGAGTTGCTGATTGTTTTCGCGGCTGGGAATGACGGCCAATCTTCCACCCGGTGCGTTGATACTGACGTTTATCGGGACCGACAAATCATGTTCGAGCAATCCTCCAAAAACCCCCTTGTAGTAGGGTATACTTTCAACCACCGTCAATTCGCCCGAGACACGTTGGGAAGGGTATACGAGCCAGCTATAGATAACAAAGATGAGAGACCAGTGAATGGCCGTAACTATAGAGATGGATCTGGTACAAGCAAAGACAAACTCCTAAAGCTTCAGAAGTCCGCCAGAGTCTCGTACAGCAGTGGCAGGGGCCCAACGTTGGAAGGTCGTATAAAACCAGATGTGGTCGCTCCGGGTGCAGGCATACTCTCAGCGAGATCCGGAAAGGCGAAAAATGCCACAAGTAGCGGCCTAATGAGAAAACAGGAATACATCTTCATGACTGGTAGCTCGTTCGCAGCGCCATTGGTCTCCGGTATGGCGGCATCTCTTCAGTCTGCCCTCAAGAGTCTCAGGCCAATCCCAGTCACCAACCCCAAGGGCATTCTAATCAAGGCGCTTATCATCAATGGCGCGAGAGATATAGACAGAGCCCGATACGAGTGGAAGAGGAACATCAGCCATCGCAAGCCGGGCCCTCCGAAGGGTAGTGGCTGGCGCTACGAAACCATGCCCGCTGCCCCAGACGGAGCTCAAGGATGGGGGCTTGTCGACATGGAGCGCTCCATGGTGTCACTGACAGTGAATGGCGGGTACCATACCGCAACGGTCACGAAGGGATCAACGGAGACACATGATGTACCAACGCTACCGCCGAGCGCAGGCGAACGCGTCCTCACGGTAACAATGTGCTACAATGACACAGAGGGCTACCTGATACAGAATCGTCTGTCACTGCATGTGGATCTCAAACCGATTGACTTGAATACAAAGCCTCCGCGAAAGGACGCAAACACAACGCCTGGGGTTGACTTATCTTCAGAGACTGTCAAAGGGGGATTCTCGTTCAGTAATGTGCAGCGGTGGTCTGAGAAGATCCAGCCTTCACTATTCAGTAGTATGCAACTCATTGTGTGCAACGAGCCTAACTCGCTCTCTCCTTCAACAGACTTCGCCGTTGCCTGGGCTTTGACGAGCCCTATTCCACCTCAGACTGCAAACGATTCTTAATTCTCCATTATCATACTTTAATCCAGAGAAATACTTTAACAGATTCATCATTTATCTTTCAGGCTAGAGTAGTTCCAAATAGATATATAGAGAGGGAAAGATTTTTATCTTAACCTTAAGTTACTTTCTAAGTACTATTGTCACTCTCTTGTTTTCTCAATTTTTATAAAGACATTGCTTTTCAAAACCTCGACTTTTCATTCACGACTAAAAGTTTAATAAAATAATATTTATTGTATTAAAATGTACCGATTCTATGACTGAATCTTTTTTTCCTGTTTTTTTTATACATGTACTAATAAGACACGAAAGGTACATTGCCTTCAATGAGGAAGAAGAAGAAGAATATAAGGCCTTCGATCTTAGACTAAAACTATGGGACATATAACTTGGACGTTAGAAAGGATTGCGGCAAAATTCAGCGACTCGTTAGTAACATCGACTAGTATGAGCCTGGGAAAGAGCGACGAATCGATATACCATAACGTGAAAAACATGAAGACCAGTATATTAGAGGACGACATGCTGATATAGTCATACTATGGGGTTGAGAATCTACTCGGAGCTTCCTGAGTCTTGCAGACACGAATGCGCTATGCTCAGCATATCTATGCTATGCCATCAGATCGGAGGTGAAGCTAGGAAGCCCGCACTTATGATGCTCCCGGGCAGCTGAGTTGTGCCGGCGCTCTCTTACCAATTCCTTCTTAGTACAAACTTATGAACTTGACATAACATGCACAAGCTCTTAGGATCAATGCGAAGGTAGCACATGTGGGTCAGGGTTTTCACGTCCGAGGCGTGCTAACCAGGTCTTCTGGTCTTTACCTCCAGACTCGGACGCTCACTTGTGGACGATTTGCGGTGGGATTTTCTCCGCCTCCTGTGACAGTTGTAGCTATCTTCGTTGTGTTCAGCCGACTAATCAGCAAACAACGGTTTGCTCCACATCCGAACTCTTGTTCAAAGCATCACACGTTGTATCTCATTGGAAGTTGATATCTGCGGGTGTGCTTGCAGCTTTGACAAGCCTCGTGGAGCGTGGGAAGGTTTCGCGCGAAGGCTGTAAGGTGCGGGACGCCACGTTCTGTCCCTTAGCAAGCCACCTGCTTCGTAAACCACGTTTATCGGACCTAAACCTGGCGGAGGAACAGCGCGGCGCGGTAGGGACGACTCGAAAGGATTGTTTAACTTTGTACCCAATCATATTTTCATGTATGCTCTGATGCTAAGTTATTCTGCGCTGCCTCTACCAATGTACCGCTGAAGTCTAGATTTCCTACTCTTCCGATTACGTTTTATAGTAGAGATGGCTTCTTGCGCTGTAGCAGCGTATGTTATCCCGAAAGTTGTTAGCTTTCACGACCGTGTTAACAAACTCTTAGCCTTGGGTGACGACTCTGGGTTGAGAGGCAAGGCAAGCGTATCTGGTCTGACGAAGAATCGTTGCAAGATAGAGACCATCGACGTGTACGGAAACGAAAACTTATCACCGATTACGAATGAAAACACTGCTATCACTGGATGATAATACTCAGGATGGGTCTTATCGCTTACTGGCATCATCTGCGGTGCCCGTGTGAATCAGATAACCCCAGCCATCAATAGTTTGACGGGTAGCAAAACCTCTCAACTATCCCTCCTATGTCCAGAGTTATCATAGTGTATGTAAGGGATAAGATCAGTATCTCGGGTACCATATAAAGAATACAAGACGCAGGATAGAACTCATTCCAGCAGGCTTCTTAAGCACACCGAAACCTGCAGAATACCTTGTCAGCCGTGGTCGCAGCAGAAGAATCATGGAGTGCAACAAACAGCCGACTTTATGAGGATCTGAGGCATTCAATGCTCACATGTACTGGTACCGTGTTATAGCCAGCCTCTCGCAGATGGCTAAAACATGAACTGGTCTCAATTCTATACACCATTTTTCCCATGATTGTAGATCTCGTTTACCTCTTTTTATTGAGCAATATTCGGCCCGTTGCACACGATTCTTTACTTTGTCGAACGCTCTCCATACGGTGTGCCAATGCTAGAGGAGAAGCATGGTGAGTTTGTGCGGAATACTGTCATCTTCGCATGACACATCTAGGAATAATTCACCCCAACATTTCAGCGGCATATGGGGATGCGAAAAGATTCCAGGTCAGAGCGTTCAATCGGAACAGACTGTATATCTATTCAGCGAGCCTGTTCATATACTTACGACTTGCTACAGGTCCGCTTGCTCTCTTAGCGTTTACAGCATCGCCAATACGGAAAAGACAAACAGGTCTCACACATCAACAATCGAATCTACGCCGAATATGAATGACATTTCGACTCCCAGGAGGAATCTTGCTGCTACTAAACAAGAGCTCAACCAAACCTTTCCTCACGGATATGCCAGGATAATCAAATGGCTGAGATTGTAGCTGAACTCGATATTTGACTCTGATTCATTGAATTATAGTTGAAGCGGCCTGGATTGAATATATTCCTAAGTGAAATTACTAGAATCATCGTATGTGAATGAGCTATTGTTAGGGTTAGGAGAGGGTTCAGACTTAGCGATTTTTGCTTTACGGTGTCATTGTATTAATCTAGCCACTTCAATAGCCTATAAGATGCCTTGGACTTGAATCGTCGTCTTATTGCGGAAAAAAAGACTAGGCTAGAACTTTTCCAAAACTCTAGTCTTCTAGTAATCGGATCCTAATTACAAGACCATGTATTAAGTTTGTCACTCTCCGCAACCTTATTTAGTTGATAGTTTTCAACTGTGTCGCCTATCGAGAATTTCCGATAAGCATACGGACTATTCCATCGCTTGTAGTAGAAATTCCTGTAATCTCTTCCACGGCCGGGATTAACTACCATAGATACAAATAATAGCATTTATCTATTCCATACCAGCCCAAAATATGCCCATGAACGTCACGGTTTGGTGCACCAGCTTAAGCTCAGCGACGCGGGGTTAAAAGTGTTACAAGAATTAGTTACTGTTCTTAGCATAGAGCTATTGAATTAAACCAGCAAAGGTTCTTCAATATTACTCCTGGATTCGAGGTATCGCTGACTTTCCTCTCGAACACTCTACCAGCCTCGTTACTCGAGATCAGTCTTAGGAAGAGTTTTTATCAGTAATTGCTCGACCACCTAGCCTTCTGTTCCTAGGTACCGGGTACATTACTAGTGGCAGTACTTTCTCCAAAGTCTTACTCGTTATTACATTAACTCTCTACCTAATTATAATGTTCCTAGTATACTTGTATCTACTTCCTCAACACCTTAATCTATCCCCGTGTAACCCCCTTCTCACCACCACTAATATTAGTCGCCGCTCTATCTTAATTTAACTAAGGATATTACTAACGTGATTTCTTGTGTCAGTAATTTAGCAGTAGTACAATCACTTGACCTGATGTATTGTAGCCTACCGCGGTTCCTAGAGTGCATCTTACGACTAGCGAGTCTATATGAGAAACGGTCGGAAAGTCCGTTAGAGCCGTCCTCGCAGCCGCCTTTCTCCAAGTCAATCATATATCCACTTCATAAGGAGCGCGAGATAGTAACCAAAGAGAAGAGATGAATACATTACTTCAGAGTGGATTACTAGAACTTAACACAACGTTTGTCGAAGTGCCTCCGCCTAGTAAGCGTGAGCTCGATCTACCAACCCTACAATGGATCCAGCATCTTATCTTTATGCTATACCAGGCTAGCGACAACTAAAACGGGCTAAGTAGTTATAGCGATAGATTATTATATAGTCTAAGTGAATTCGGACTTAACTAGAGTTAAGAAATATCTATAAAGTTCAATTTAAAAACATCCTCTTCACTCTATAAGTAGGGAATTAGAGACATTTGTCTTTGATATTCAGTGAAATGCTTAGCTAAGAGGCACGTCCTAGTATAAGGTTAATTACGAGCTACGTGTTTTGTGTGTGTATGTTTAGATCTCACGTCCTATTTAAAACATCTTACAGCAAACACGGACGGGTGTGGCCTAGAGCTTATGGTACTATGATACTAGATATCCACACCTTTCCGCGGAGAGTGTCCTCCAAATCGCGACTTTCCTGCGAGGACTGATCCGCTATCTGAGGAGCCGTTGTAGGAGCTACGTGTAGGTTTCAATCTAGCCTTTTTCAGCTATAACAATGATTACTAGTTTACTTTACCAGAAGTGTCTCTTAGATTGATATGAGATGAATATAGTATGTTCTGTAGTGGTCTTTCGCTAAGCTGATAGAATGCAGGACTATAGGTACCTTATTATTTATCTATGTCTCTCTCCAATAGAGATCTTGATCTAAGCTTTATTCGTCCTTCTTTACATCTTCTATTATTCCTTCTGTTGACATACCTAATAATGGGCTACTCCTAAAACTACCAAGATAACCAAATGCGACATATAACCATACCGCTAAAAGTCTACCTCTGCACAGTTTGGACCTTAACCATCGCTGTATAATGGTTAGGAGCAACAGAGAGACGTAGATGCAGTCAGCAGCTGTATGAGAAAGCAATATGATAGTGCGACTGCTGGTAGACAATGAAGCAGATAGTTAGTGAAAGGACTGATTTATCGAAGAAGAGTAAACTGGTAGGGAGATGTTCATTGGAGGCCCTGTATCTACATAGTCATGTCGCGTAGTGAAGCCGAGCTGTCGCATCACACCGTGAATAAAACCGAGACTGGCGAGACCAAATAGACCCTGAACTAATTGGTGTAACGCATATTGGCAATAAGTACACGTAAGTAGTTAAGCATTGGATTATCGGTTACATTAATTGAAAAAAGACAAGATAACAAACCGGTCTATATCAGTAAGATACGTTGATATGGGCTCTTGGGCTCTCGGGTCCGGGTTACACGTTTTCCGGGGCGTCGAGAAGCACCGAAACCCACAATTTCTTCGTCCGAGGCAGTGGTCCGGTGTATCCCTGCTATATTCTGGATCCGACCAGCAATATCTGAGACTCGGCCATCGCATCAGTCTCTAACGTTATTTCACGATCCACTAGCGTTCATCTTGGCCCTTGGGTTGGGTATGAGAGCACATTATATGTAATGAAATGAATGTATAACACTCAAGATTTACTATAATTTGTTTCCACAACCTGTTCTAACGCAATGTCAAATAACCCTTTTAAAGTGATTGTTGTTGGTGGTGGACCAGTCGGGCTAACCGCTACTCATGCGTTGTATTTGGCGAACATCGACTTCGTTGTTTTGGAAAGGAACGATGATGTTGCCGTCGATGTGGGAGCTAGTCTTGCACTTGGGGCTGATAGCATGCGATTCATGCAACAACTAGGCCTGCTCGATAAGTTGTTGTCGATTGGGGAGAAGATAACGAGGAACAAATCATTCACAAAAGATGGGAAAATGTTCGCAGACAGTACAGCCACTGAAATGACGCGAGAAAAGTAAGTTTATCTCCTTCTCACAGGATCAATTGATCTGAGATCGTATGAATATGAACTGATTCCCACCTTTACATAGCTTTGGCCTTGAACCTGTCGCGTTCCATCGAGCTGACCTTGTTCGAGCTTTGCTAGAGAGTCTGCCAAAGAGCATAAGAGAGAAATACTTCCTTGGGCACAAAGTTGTCGACATTGCAACCAGCGAAACAGGCGTAGTCGTTACTTGCGCCAACGGGAAGACATTCTCTGGTTCTATGGTGCTTGGAGCTGATGGCGTACACAGCCAAACGCGAAAAGTAATGCACAAACTTTGCTCTGAGAGTAGATTTTCAGCGTACAGAAACCAGGAACCGCCCTTCTCAGCGAGTTACCGATGCTTGTGGTCAAACATCCCACGGCCATGCGAAGCTGGGCAGGCATCCGATACCCAGAGCAAAGACCGCTCCATCATGTGGATCGTCGGTCGTGAACGTGCTTGGATATTTCTGTACGAGAAGTTGCCACAGCCTACGAGCGATTCCAAGCGATACACCAAGGCGGAGATGGATGAATTTGCAACTAGTTTCGCGAACTGGCCAGTCACTGAGAGCTTGAAGATCAAGGACGTCTACAATAGCTCAACTGCAGGCATGTCGAACTTAGAAGAGGGCATACTCGAGCATTGGAGCCTGGGAAGGATCGTGCTGGCTGGCGATGCTTGTCACAAGTTTACACCCAACGCAGGTCTCGGCTACACGAACGGGATCCAAGACATAGCCTTGCTCGGCAATTTGCTCCACAATGCTGTCAGATCATCCCCAAACTCAGAGATTATTGAGCATGATCTTGAAGAGATTTTCAAGGAGTATCAGGCTGCCCGGAAAGAGAAACTCAAGTTCGACTGGAACATATCCAGTATCACAACACGAGGTCACGCCTGGGCAAATCCAGTTTTCTGGTTCTTCTTTCGATTTCTCATGCCTTTGTATGTTATCCAGTGGATCAGGGAAAACTATGTTGTACCCTCACTCGTCAAGCAAAGTAGGGTTCTCAATTATGTCTTTGGTGAAGAGAGCATCAAAGGTCGAATTCCATGGATGTATCCGATCCGTCCCAAAGAGCAATAGTTTGGCGCTAGGATTAGATCTCTTTTGCCCATATAGATAGATTTGCAATACCATCCCTTCTCGAAATTGCCTGTGTATGCCGATCTAACCTTCTTAAGTGTTTTATCACGCAATTAGTAGTGGATATATATATATATATATTACTGCTTGTACTAAATCAAGATTAAATAATTTGATATATCATTGCAAGGAATCAAGTGTTGAGAGCAGTTTGAGGATGAAGAAAGCTCGGTCCATCTGACCACCGCTAATTTTCAATCTAACTCCAATTATATTCTAATCCTAGTTTAACTTCGTCCCGTTGTCGATATCTTTGTACTTAATAGTGAATGACGGAGTCTCAGAAACGTCATATTGCTTAGTATCATTTGCATCGCCAGATATATGCAGTGCCGAAATCCGAAACTTGTAGCTACCTGGTGGCACGTAGGAATCATCGGCCAGCTGGCCATTCCAGGTGTAGGGAAGCGTCCAGCGAGGATTCCAATGGTTTGGTGAATCGATTGCATGGCCTAGATTGGTTGTGTGATTGCTTATTGACAAAATCTCGATATTGATACGTGGAGACCCAAAGAGTATGTCGATAGCAGCAACTGGAAAATCACCAGTGATGTTCGTGATGTTCATCTGTGGAATCACGAAAATTGTGTTACTACCGACGGGCCTGTAGTCGGGAGCATTAGCGCTGCTCGACACATACGTCGTGTTCAAAACAGCATGCGCACTCATATCTCCTGCAATACCCTGATATGGAAGGGATAGTCTCTCGCCGTTTGTGCCATTGAGTCGAATGTAGCCTCCATATACTGGAAGTCGAGCGGCAGATCCTGACGGCGGTATAACGTGGACAGAAATTGTCGATTTGCCACCTGCAGGGACAGTGACTTTGTACTCGCTCAGATGCACCGCTGCAAAAGAATCATCGAGTTGAAGTCCGGGGTATGGGTCTGGCCTTTTACTGTCGGAGAATGTGTAAGCAGTGGCTGCTCCAATGACATCTAGCTCATAAGTGATGGCTCCATGTCCCGTGTTCGAAATGGTGAAGCTCTTATCGGTCAGTCGAACTGTATCATTGAAAGCAAGACTCGATTCGCTCAAGACAGTAGTTGCGTATGCAGCATCGTAGGCCTGGGCTATTCCAGCTCCTTGTTGGGCAATTGACGCAAGCAAAGGATTGATATCACCATTATTGTTTTCTTGTACGGGCTTGGCAGTAGCAGTGAGTACATTTTGTAGCTCCCGAGGGTTGAGAGTCTTCCGCACGTTGGATACGAGCGCATAAATAGCCGCAGCTAACGGAGCGGCCATAGAAGTACCGGACATGACAGTGTAAGAGCCTAAATGCACGGGGAAAGTCGATAGTATGTTTCCTCCAGGCGTACCAAATGTAGGTTGTACAGCTGCCTCAAAAGAGGGTCCCCAGCTCGAAAAAAAGCTCACAAATCCACCAGTAGCGTTGTTGGGGCTTTCAAAAATTTCGAATGAGGCGGTGTCGGGGTCGTGCATATCCAGTGTGACAACCTTCCCAGCGGCAAGATTCCTCACCCACGCAGTGCCCAGGGTGTCAGAAACCATACCGACAGCTGTTGCGTTGATTGTGTTCCACTCGAGGAACCGATATCCGGGAACGTTGTTGTAAAACATGAAATACTTGGCCCCTCGTGCCGCCGCGTTTTTTATCTTATCATCGAAAAAGCAAGTGCCACGACGGATAAGAACAACCTTTTCCGATAGGTCGGGCGTTGAATCAGGGAGAGGATTGCATGCTTGGTCGGTCTCACTAGTATTGAATGATGGAGTCCAGAGTGGCAACTTGATGCCCTTCCAATGGCGTGGCCTGCCGATCGCATATTCGAAGTTTTGTTCCGTGTTGCCTGAAACTGCGTAGGAGGCATTCACCAAAAATATGGGCGTTACAGTGTTGTCGAAGGAAGTGATAGCAGCAACGCCCTTGCCCCCTGCTGGGCTTTGCGCCATAAATAGACCACTATCACCTGAGTTCCCAGCAGAAGCAGTAACAATTACACCTTTAGCCACTATCCGAGCGACAACAACGTTGACTGCTTCAGCACTCCATCCACTTATAGCTCCAAGTGAAAGAGTAATGATATTAGCCCCATCCTGCTGGGCGCGCAATAAAGCAGATATGATGATGTCGTCCGTGGTTGAGGTCTTGCAATTGAACACCCGGTAGGCTGCCAGTTTAACACCCTATGATATATCAGAGGAAGATGACGATAGCCTTCCTAGGGATACATACAGGAGCAGCCCCAGTAAAGCCGAGTTTGTTCGGCTGAGCAGCAATGATACCGGCAACATGGGTACCATGGCCCTGGTTGCAGTCAGATATCGAATTTCGTGTAAAAGCTCAAAGATCGGGAGCATACCCAACAAGTATCTTGAGGGTCGTTATCAGGAACGGGGGTATTAGTTCCATTGAAATTATCTCCAACCAAATCATAACCACCAACGACCAAACAATTAGGTCCCAAACACCTGCCTAAAGCTTCGTGTGTGTAATCAATCTAGTGTTCGATTAATATCGTTCTATGTTAATAAAAAAAAGCCGATGATACATACACCACTATCAATGACTGCAATTTTCACACCTTCACCAGTTATACCCTTTTCTCGTAATTTGTCGACTTGAGTCTGAACATGGGTCGAGAGCGCATCATTGCTGTTGGATCTTCTGATTACCTGTTCTGACGCTGACTCTTCCGATCTGTGTGATGCCACCTCATGAATTCGAGCATCAGGTGGAGGGATGAGTTTCTTTGGCCAGACGTTTCTAATGGCTGACAGGTCCAGTAATTGAGCCACGCGTTCGCCTACAGGCTTCTCATCTTCAAACTGTATAGTAGCGCCCTGAAACAATTCGTAATTCAAATCCAGTGTTTTAGTTGCGCCAACATTGTTTAAGGCGGATGGGGCTTGCTGCACACACTTAGCAAACGATACTAGCGAGTTTGGGTGACTATTACCAAGGCATCCTTGTATTCAACGATGAAAGCTCTTGGAACTATCTGCGCCAACTCCGATCCAGCTACAGCACCGATTGAGATAGATAGGAAGTATGGTGCCCAGAGCATGGTAGCAATCTGTAAAGAAAAGAGTGGGTGGTATAGTAAGAGAGAGCGGATACACGCAGCGCGCATGTAGTACAAGGGAGTGCTCAGAGGTAGAGACTGGGTGGCCTGAACTATAACGGCAAGTATCATCACTATGTACTCCGGGAGAGATTAGCCCTTGCCAAGCCCGAATGCTTTACCTTGAGTGACATTCCACGCGATTATAGGATGGATCCCTCAATGTCCACCAACACGGAGTCCTGTCGTGATTGAACGGGTAATCTTGTCAGCATGCGCACCTACTATCGGGCCTTTGAACCCTGACAGCAAACAGTAACTTAAACGCGACGCCAAAAGGGCTAGCTTTATTGAATAGACGAGCCACCTAGCAAAATCGACCCCGCACCTACTGCTCGTACTGTGTAAGCGCTAGCTCAACGTGCCGCGATCATGACATTCTCCTATACGTGCATACCATCCATATGATATCAGGGGCTGTTTTACCTACATATACTACACATGAAGCCTTTGAAGCGTGTCGTAGGCTGAGTTCGGCTCAAGTCGCATTCAATCCTTCGGACGCGAAGAGCGCCTAATCGCGTGTATATCCTTTATGATAACCATACGAATGTTTTCTTAAACGAAAACTCACCCTCTCAAACGGCTGTTGTCTTTCTTGAGCCCCAGTATATATCCCTGGCGCATTTCACCATGGCCTTCTTTATGGCTGAATAGTTACATACTCGGATGATATGTGTTAGAACTCTGATAAGCTAAGAACGGCTATAGTCATGGATAGGGGTTCTTGCGGTGATACTCTCAACTGGGAAATACTAATCAGGTCGTTTGGAATGTTCCCTTGCATTTTGGTCTCGCGAGGAACGTCAGCTATCAACCCCCACCTCCTACTGTGAAAGAGATTATTTGATTTATCCAACTACTAATCACGTAGACGACGTCATGCTATGAATGTGTGGTGAAACTCCCGCCGGCCCCCTTTCCTGCAGGAACTATTGAGGTTTACATCTACGTGCTGAGGAGCGAGATAAAGCGCATTATAACCAGGACTGGAAGTGGGGGTGACACGGGGGCAGGCGGTAAGACCTAGACTGAATATAGTATAGCGTGAATTCGATCCATTGGGCATAAATCAGAAGTGATTCCTCAGCACAGACTAGGCATAGCGTTACCTGAAGAAGCGCCTTGTCATCATCTCGGACTTGTCCAGGTACGAGGCTTCTGTTCTCGACCAATTAAGTGCTTGAGTACAGTACAGCGATCTCTCAACAGATTCTATCACAGCTCTTTCAATGAAATTATTACCTCAACTGTGAAGTGAATGTCGTTCTTGATTCCATATTCTGGCAGATTAGGGTGCGGTCGACCTTTTGCCAGTCTACGTGTAATCAACGTATGCCATGATTAGCACCTTCTTTGGGCAGTGGTTGATGGTTTCATTGACAATCTAATGAAAGCAACTACGGAACCGGCTATGGTGTTCGGCCCGTTCCCCTGAAATCTGAGACCAATAGCACCACATCTCCGGTGGTCACGGCGCTACTCAACTGCTAAACAGTGGGCAGATGTCATAATATCTACGATTCATCTGAGATATGCTTGAGTGTGTAGAGCCTGATCAGTTACTCCGTCTTCTATGTCCGTTTCCTTCTCCCTTTAGGCTAAGTGCTTTCACAGGGCTACTAACTGGCCTCTATTCAGATTGATGTAGAAAGCGGAAATAGCTGTTTGACTAGAATTCCGTTTTGTAGCGTTCACACGTCTGTTGTTCTAAACACTACCATTTCCAGCTTCGGTTTCCAGACAAAGCCCAGACTGGACCTAGCAGACACAAAATGAAGACAAAATCGAACAGGCTCAAAGTAGAAAATACAGATAGTTGGAACGGTAGTAGTGCAATGATGATATGGAGAAGTAAGTTATCAGTAGTAGCTCAACTAAGCAGAGGAAATACACCTAGGCGATACGCCTTAGCAGTACTAGGTCACATTTCCATGCGATAACATGCATTGTTATGTTATAAACTGAATTGTGAAACTGAATAGAGTAGGAAGTTTTGAAGTTCCATAATGAGAGTGCGGGCTATAGCTCTTACACTAGCACTTAGATGCTGTTGACTTCGAATGAGCGTGAATTGTAGGTGTTGATAGTCGTCTCTAGGAACGATGAAACCGTTATGGCTCTGAATGTAATTATAGAAAAGGTTAACTCAATTCTTTGGAGCAACAAAATCAAGTGTTTCCATATAAGTTCTAAGCAACTTAGGTCTATAGTCTACTTAACGTATCATAACAGAACATGTAAGCATACTGGTAAGTCAGAAGTAAAATCTTTTACCCAAAGTCTTCCGCATTTACAACTATTCTAAATCTTTAAACAACTCTTTATATTCAAGAAAGAATAGTTGGCTGCATAGTGCTAGTAGGATATAGAGGCCTCTGATAGCGCTACACTGTTGCTAGAGGCGGTAATTCCTCTGTCAGTCTGCTTAAGTGAAGTAATGATACGAAAGACGGCCTTGCTTCCTAGACGAGTCACTAGACATCCTTTAAACTAATCCAGAGTGTGGGTTGATAGATTAAAAACTCTCCTTTTTGTGTGCATCCTTATACCTATGCGAAAGTATTCTAACATCATGCCAATATAGCGGAAATACTGACAATAAAGCTTTTAGCATTTCCAGTAGCCTCAAGAGGGAGATAGTCGAATGATTCTTTAAACATTCCTAAGCTATACCAATCATAGCACGCATTCACCAAAGTCACGTCATCGCCATAACTACCTTGTCGGTTTACTATACAGTTTACAAATTTTTCAAATAGGTGAGGAATTAATGCCAACGTCAATCTACTGAGTAGACGTGATAACAGCTGTGTTGACTCCCTAATTCTCTTTAAGCGGCATATCCAAGGTCAGCCTCTAAGAACTCATATATAATGTAGAAGGGAATAAACATCTATGATAGAGCTGTAGTACTTAGTTCGAAGGATATCGGAACCTGATTTTAGCTACAAGACTGGAACAAGGCTAAGCTGTAGCAGCTCCTAACTACTATTTCTTTCCCTAATCGACTCTTCTCAAATACCTAATATAAGATTGTCGTAGTCTATTAGTATATATTTACTCGAGTAGCCTCGAACAGTGCATCTCCACCACAGAATTGCGATTGCCCTAGTTAGGCCTGCATCATGCTTTTGCCTTACCACTTCGTTAATAGCATATTGTTATTTCGCTTAGTAACAGACTTTTTTATAAGATCTATATAAGTCACGGTGATGCTTGCAGGGCTTCGGGTACAGCGGCCGGAAGCTAGCATATCTAACACAGTCAACTAGTTTACTTGCACCTTCGAAGACAAGCAATCATTTTCCTTCAATCTTGTATCAGATAAAAATTTAGTATTATCAACAAGACTAAACTTTACACCAGCGTACCCATCAGTTTGATTGCAGACTTCGTCCGCTTATTGTGTTCTTTATTAGTCCCTTATCTGAATTCATGATTATGTAGCACATAGAGTCGTCGTTCAAGCAGAAAGCGACTTCCTGCACTGGAGCTGCAAGAGTACGTCAATTTTCTTTGCTAACATGGAACAGTATAGACCCTCAGAGTATGCAGAGATAACTAGCGGAAAGAATTTACGGAAGAGTGCATCGATTTAGATACTTCCTGGCTTTCGCTAACACGTCATGGGTGTGATTGATGTGGGTAATTTGGACGCCCCCTCCATTGTCCTCGTAGTCCATGATTGAGCGCAGTGATTTCTCAATTTGATTTATTCTCTGAGCTGGGACTGGTCGGGTTTTCATATCAGAAAAGTCATCAGCGCCTAGATAGACCCTGAAACTTACAAAAAGCATATAGTGTTCTTGTCATTAAGCTTTAACTTAACGCATCCAAGCAGGCGGCGGAAATTATATGGATCCTCTTCAATTTCAAATGGTGCCCCTTGAAGTCTAGCTGACCTTCAGAACGGGAAAATTTTCTCGTTACAAGTGGTGTGCATTGAGCACACGTATAAAGCTGGGCTTCAGATTGTTAAGGAAACACGATCAGCCGAGCGATCGTTCCACCCGAATTGAGTAATAACGCTAAGCTTGCAGCGAGTAGAATATACAGGAAAGTAAATGCCAGGAGTATGCAAAGCTCTAGTCTTGGGATAGTCAATGTCTCGCGCCTTTTGTCAAGTTAACGATGCCTACATTCTACTAAGATTGTCATCGCCTTTGAGAAGGCCTCGCCTGACCGACAGCCAACAATCTCGCATCTTTAGAAATGTAGATAATGTTGTATACATGTGTATGATGTAGGTAAAGTCCTTCGGTCTTTGAACTTCTGTGTCTAGATTGACGCGATTGAACGCCTGTGACAGTATCCGCTAATTGGGTCAAGGTAAGAGCAGAGTATTTTCCAAAAGGATGAGTTGTGCGTGAAAGGTAGTAGCCAAATTCTTAAAACATCAGCAATACCTCACGTTGGTAGTTTGTATATTACCCGGCTGCATGGTTGATGGATAATTCTTAACAAAAACACGAAGGATGCAGGATTTGGGTTGAGATGTACGAAAGGCCCCCCAAGCGCATTAGCGCATGCCTGGCGGCTCCAAAGTGGGCTGCACAAGGGACATCACCCGAACTACAGGCCAATGGCACTGTTTCGCCTCCCGGGTACTACCTCAAGTTGGTCACATTGCAATAGCGCAAAGAACAAAGCTCGAGACATGCACGCACATGACTCAGGATCCATATCCTCGAATCCCAATGGATATTGTATACTTACACTGCTATTGTATTGTTACCCGGCGCAGTTCGTCCCGTTCTCGCATGCGTCGACAACGACCCTTAGGGAAGGTTGCCGGGCCATCTTCCCGTTGCGGACTGGGGCATTGTGCCTTCTCATAACTCTTTGTTTATATATGAGAAGATGAAGGTTAGCCTTTCAATTGCAGTATTCCATTTGGGCGCCTCCACTCAATCATGTTTTCACGCATTTTCGCGCCGTTT